CACCTCGTCCATGCCGATATGGTGATAAAAACAATCGAATTATTATTATTGTTTGAATTATTTTTCGCTCTTTATGTACATGTTCTAATGTTTTAACAATGGTATTTTCCAAATATTTATGCAGACGTTCAACGCAGATAAAATCGGTAATTACATAATAATCTCTACATAGATGTTGAATTTATACATGAAATCTAAAGTATAGGTTCTGATTAAAAAAATTATGCATTTGTAGATTGTAAGAATAGGTGCCAAGAAAGGTGCAGGCTCTCGAGTCGACCGAACCTTTGTCATCGAGCTTGCGGTACTTGTTGCGCTAGGTGCAATTGTGTGCCGCCTGGCACGTATGGAAACTACGACAAATGCAAGTGCTATGCTAGCCTCACAACCCACGGTGGTCGCCGCAAGTGCCCGTAAAAACAATAACTTTCAATTACTGACGAACATTTGTTGGTATTCATATAGAATGAAATCGAATGTGAAGAAAATAAAGAGAAAACGTATCTTATACACTTTTCTTCTGTGAGTGCCGGTCCAACAATATCTGATGTCTTAAGCGAAACTAAAAATTATGTCTTCAAGTTAATTTCAAACCATAAAAAATAACAGCAACTAGTTCACAAAAACAAAATACCAAGTATTAAGCAAACAAGTTTTTTCCAAAACATAACATAAAATTGAAAATTTAATCTTGAAAATTGGTTATGTTCCAAAACATAACACAAGTTTCTTATTTTTTTCCAAAACATAACATAAAAATGATGTAAATATATGTTTTTCTTTTCGAAAATTGGTTATGTTCCGATCTTCATTTGCCTTAGAGACAGATAAGCGAGTAGGCGAAAACCGAAGATCATGACAACGAGTGCGACCACTTCAGTTAGTCCATTGTCTATTCTCACACCGTTGACGAAAGGAGCAAAACCCTGATACTGCACTTTAAGAAGAAGCTTGTAGGTGTGGTAATTGAAGGATATGTAACGTATCCAGGAGATGAATACCGGCACTTTCTGCGGGAGACAAACAGACGAGCTCAGAAACAGAGGAATTCAAGAAACAGAGGGATTCAAGAAAGAGAGGAATTACCGTGACAAATAATCCTCCGGCGAGCATGAATGTCATGACAGTCACTGAAGCCAAAGTCGTTGCTTTCTTTATGTCCATTAAAATCGCACCAATAGCAAGTCCAAGTCCCTAGCAAAGAGAAAAACACAATCAAAATACATATTTTTCATTATAAAATGTCATTTTTTCGGTTTGAAACATACCTGAGCTGCAAGGATGCAAAGGAAAACGGTTAGAATGCTCAAGAAGAAGGGATATGGGCTGACTCGAAGACCTGTCATGAAATAGACGACTACAAGGAAGAGTGTAGGTAGAATAAAGTCGAGTGGGAGATCACTCGTGGTCCGAGCCATGAAATACGCGCTTAATCTATACATACCCGCTGCTCTCTCCTTATTCAGCATCGCTCGCTCTTGCGGAAATGCAAAAATCGCTGTGAAAACAGGGAAAAATCCCCAAAAAACAGCTATAAAGAAAAGCAAACCGGCCTACAAAAAAAAAAGAGCATAAGATTGAAAGCGCATAAAAAGCGGTCCGAACCAAAATTTCTCAAACCAAACGATAACAATGTACCTGATCTTCTAGTCCTCTAGGAGTCCGAATATCTGACCGCCACCAAAGAAGACCTAAAATGACAGCCATCGAAAGAACTTGCGCAACAGGCAACCAGTTAAAGTATTCGTGTCGCCTCTCTTTGAGTCCTCTAGAGAACAGTATGCAGTATTGCTCCCACCAGCTCGCTCCCCATTGTGGCTTTAGAGGCAAAACTATGCCCTTAGCTTCTTCGTCGAGTGGCACAGGATCAAGTAGTTCCCTCTTCTCTTGTTCCGCGACCCGAGTCTCGTATGCTTCCACTAGATACTGTTCCAATATACATATCAGAACTAAATTTGGTTTCAGATAATCTTTAGTATGTTAGAAAATGTTATTGTTTTTTGTTATTACCTCATGAATAGGAGATGGCTTCCCATTTTGGGATTCTCTTCCTGAATTGCCAAGTTGAACTCTATCTTCTAACTCAGAAGGCACAGAGATATCGTTGATGTTACTGTTTGCGAGATCGAGCAAGAACTCTGCAGGGTTCATGGCTATAAGAGGAGAGCATCCAATGGAAGAAAAGTATTCCAAAGCTTCTGATGATTTCCCAAAGTAGAGAAGATTTCCTCTTCCCAACAAAATCAGCTTATCAAATCCATGGAAGAGCCTACTCGAAGGCTGATGTATCGTTGTGATCACTGTTTTCCCTGCCTGTTCCAAACACATCAAGATTCAGAAACAAAGAGTAGTGATACAACTAAATTGTCTGAAACAAACAAAGAGACAAACCTGGCAATGTCATGGAGCATTTGAATGGTTCTTAGAGCAGTGGTGGAATCTAAACCGGAAGTTGGTTCATCAAGAAATAACAGAGAAGGATTAGTAATGATCTCGTTTCCAATAGAAACTCTTTTCCTCTCTCCACCTGATACACCTCGAACAAATGCTCCACCAATCATAGTATCTTGACACCTATATACAACAAACAATCCAAGTTATTACAATAAAGATCAAATTTTTATTGGTTAAATGTTTTGTTAACATCTAAAAGATGCAATATACCTCTCCAAATTCAACTCTTGCATAACATCAAAAGCTCGTTGCTCCTTCTGTTCCCTTGTAAGAGTCTTAGGTAGACACAAACGAGCAGCGTAAGTTAGCGTTTCCTTCACGGTAAGATGAGGAAACAGAACATCGTCTTGAGTCACAAACCCAATCCTATAACAACAAAACCATTTTAAAAAAAAAATCATATGTGTATATTCTTACAGTTTTGGGTTTTCTAGGGCCAAAAATACTTACTTGCTTTTCAAGAATTTAGAGTAAGGCTTGTCGTTGTAAGTAACCGAACCACCGGTAGATGATTGAGAGATTCGACCGCCGAGTAAGCTAAGAAGAGTTGTTTTACCACTCCCTGAAGGTCCCATGAGAGCAAGAACTTCACCAGGATTCACACTTCCACTTATCCCACTTAATATCTCTTTCTCTTCAGATGAAGTCAATTTCTTTATCAACACTTTGTATGTAACTTCCTTAAACTGCATCATTATCACACAAAAACAAACCACCACTAAGTGTTGAGATTAGCTCATTGATAACGAAACCTATATTCATAAATCTTATTACACATTTTCACTTATCCTTTCAGGACTTAAGACTCACATGGTTTGGTTTCTAAAAAGTCTTGTACATAAATTTCATGTAAGATGAGATTCAGAGATAGAGAGACTAATGTGTGATAATCTTTTAGATCTCCTCTTAGTGCTTGTGTAAACAGAGAAGATCAATACCAAAAGAGATCAATCCCACACTCACTACACTTCAATCCAATTTTCTAACATTTCTATTTGAAACAACAAATCTTGAATCATATGATTATTTTACCTTGAGAAAGATGGGTAATGTTGTTTCTGCTTGAAACTTAGGATTCTTGTTTCCTGCTTCAATGTCTTCCGCTGCAACAGTTGAGCAATTCCTTTGATTCATCATTGTTACTCGTAAATCAAAAGAGGTGATTAGAGACTTAGTGATTGAACCTTTAAAATGAGGTGAATTGTTAACACCTAAACACTATGGTAAGTGAGTTTAATATATATGGTGTGTAACTAATGGTCTTTCTAGGAGATTTGGACTTTTTTTTTGTCAAGAGAGAATTGGACTTTAAGGTAGATTAATCAAAACACTTTCAAACTTACAACAACAAATCAATACACTTCCAAAGTTGGGACTCACAAATTTTGACGTTTTTTTGGTCAAGAGAGATTTAGACTTTAAGGTACATTAATGAATCAAAGACTTCCAAAATTACACCAACAATTACAAGACAAACACTTCCAAAATTGGGACTTACAAATTTTGACTAATTAGTAGAGATATTGACTTCTTTTTACCTACTTTAGTCATTAAAACTTTTGTTTTATTCTTTTTTCATTATTAGAGATTATTTAATTATTGAGTTTCTACCTATATATGCACTTAATACAATTATAGATTTTTTGTTGGTTTATCCATGCTAATTTCCCTATATATAAAA